AGCAGACTCTTTAACATCTCTGAGCCTCGGGTTCATCACCCATAAGGCAATAATCCCATAGGGCAGTTGCTCAGACGGCACAAGACCTTCTACATAGGTGGTAGGCAGGTCTCCTAGTGCACAATAACAACTGGACATATGTTACCCATACACACTTCTGTCCCTCTGGCCCCAGCCTAGGACAGAGGGAGGAAATTCCTTGTCCTTTAACTCTCTCTTTCTTGTTGCTCCCTTTCGACTTCACTATTCCCACTCATCCCTCCTGCCGCTGACCCTGACCAGCTCACACTAGCTCACAAATCGATTTAAATCTTTTCCATCTTAATCTAAAAAAAAATTAGTTTGAAGATGTCTCTTGGGTAGATGGATGTTCAAGAAGAAGGTGGTGGTGAAGGAAAGCAAGAGACAGGAAAAGGAATATTGTGGGACTGTCCTGCTTCAAGGTTGTATATGGTGAGATTTTTGGACTTATGTGCAAACATGAGAAGCATAGAATTCTTTATCCTATTTTTTAAAATATAATCTAATTTTTAAATGTTTTTTATCATATTATGTAGGGACTTAAAGTTCAACATATCAATACTTGTTGAAAAATACCTGTTCCTTATTATGCCTAAGATGTTTGAAATGCAGTGAGATAGTGAGGTTAAGATTGATAGCCCAAATTGTTTGATAATAACAATAAGCTTTTCTTCTGGATGGTTAACAACCTAAGTTTGCAGACCAAAATTAGAGAAAAAGGAGGGATACAAGGAAAGCCAACATTTTGGCCCTAGCCTTCTAAGGTCAATTAAGACTCAGGACATATGAGAACTTGTACTGTAACGTCATGTAACTCGGTAGTGTCCCAAATTTTCTGATCAAGAAGATTATGGGGCCAAAGAGGAAAGTGATCTATGACATAGAGTGGGCCTAAGGAGAGTCACATGGGGAGAAGATACTCTCTTAGGCTTTCACAGAGAGCACATTGGCCAAGCATTGGCCGTGACTCATCCACATGGCTGCACTGATAAAGGTTCTACAATCTGAGGTACAGGATCTCAGGACAAATCCTGAGGGCATTTCACTGACCTTCTCAGACCAAAAAGCTACAACTCTTGTTGCATAGGTCCTGCTTTACCTTGGTCTTAACCATCCAACAGAAAAGTATGAAGATGAAATTATAAGAAATAAAGCCATGCTGTTAAGTTGGGCTGTGGGGGACTCAGGTCAATAATTTCTGACATTGCCAGTTAAACAGAAGACCCAATGCTATTATGGGCTACTGGACTCTTTTAGAATATTTTGCTGAGTTTACACACCTATAATATTCAATAACAGAACTTAGAAAAATTGGGTTTTCCGGTTGATTTTCCTTTTTTTTCTGTGTATTCAAAGTGGTTGGGATAGATATATAGTTGCATTCTGTTAATGAATAGAATGATTTGTTCTAATGGTGTTTGTAAATAGGATCTCAAGTCCGCATCTTGTACAGCAACTAACCACTAAGAAGAATATATGCAGTGTATTATTTGTTGAAAAATAAAAAAAAAAAATTAGTTTGAGACAGGGTCTCACTATGCAGCTCTGGCTGGCCTTGAACTTGCTTATGTAGCCCAGACTGGCCTGAAACTCATGTCAATCCTCCTGCCTCAGCCTCCTGAGTGCTGCCTTGCAGGCGTGTGCCGCCACACCCGGCTAATCTAAAATTTCTCCACCATTGTTTCCTCTTGTTAACTCTCACCTCATTTCTCTCATCCCTGCTTTATTATTTTAAAAGTTTCTCAAATGTCATTGCAAATGCTGATTTAGAAGTCATCTCTGCTCTTCGTCTCTGTCTCCTCCCCTTCAAATCTTTCTTCTGCATGAAAATGTTATGGCTGAGGTTGCCAGTCATCTTTCTACTAAATACAGAAATCCTTTTCTTGGGCCGGCCAGATAGCTCAGTGGATTACAGCGCCTGCTTAGGCAGAGGCAGCTAACAGAGTTGGATCCCAGAGTGCTGCGCCGGCCCCGCCATCGGGGCACACTGAGACTGCAATTGAGACTGGGAGTGGTGGCATGTGCCTGTAATCCCAGCACTTAGGAGGCTGAAATCAGGAGATCACTACAAATCTGATCTGTGTAGTGAGACTCTGTACTAACAGGAAAGAAAAATAAAGAAATCACACTTATCACACTTGACCTTTCCTGCAGCTTCCAAAGCAGCCTCCTAGCGGCTCTCTTCCGTTGCTCCCATCTCTCCTTCACACCTCTTCCTGGTCCCCTCCTGCTTTCATTCTGTTTCTTGTACTTTTCTGACATTCATGTTCTGCTCATTTTACCTTCTGTGTCTCCCTCTGGGGCCGCACTAATACCTGCAAGCGTATAGCGTCTCTGCAATTCTCCTGGGCTCCAGGAACCAATTTCCACTGTCCACACGATCTCTCTCAGGATTGTTGAAATTCCCCCATCTCTCAAGTGCAATACCCTATCTTCCCCACCGGAGTTTCTGCCTTTTATGACTCACTTGGCAGCATTCACCTATGCACGCTGCCCACACGGGAACCTGAAAGGCAGAAGCCTCTCTCACTTCTATCTCCCATGCACTGACCTGCTGGCATAGAGTTCCCAAGTTCTCTGGACATGGCCACGACTCCATCCCGTTGGACCCCTACCACCTATTGTCCAAATTATCTGTCCAGTGTCACTTCCCTGATGGAGTCATTCAGTGCATACTATCTGTCATCCTCGGAATGAAAGTAGGCCTGAGGTCTGGTACGCTCTACTTCTTGCAGCCTTACCTTGCCTGGTCTTCCATCTCACCCCTTGCCACTCCCTCCACCATCCCAGAGATCTAGCTGCACTTGATATCCCAGAATCCCTTGCACAAACCTTGCATTTTCATGCCCTGACCATACTATTGCCTCTACCTGGAGTGCTGCCCTCGTCCTCCAATACCTGAGCAAAAGCAGAGCTCAGCAGCCACCCTGACACTCCAGTACCTTTCCCTGGACTCATTCTTCATGATTACTTGTTCTTATGTACGTTTTCAGAGCACTAAAACCAACCACACTTCACAACATTCCTGGGCTTCCCACTGCATATACTTAGACTACCTAGATTCTAGATTTTTTACCTAACTTCCCCCCTACAAAGCTGTGTGTGATTGCAACCTACCAACCCTTCCAGCTTCATCATGTTCCTCTTCCTCAGCCATACATAGAAGAGCAACCACATACATGACCCCAAAACAAGGGAAAAATCCACAGTGACTTGTATAGACACCAAAGGCCAATGTGAAAGCTAAAGTTGGGCAATATAGCTCTGTTTTTCCTAAATTAGTATTGAAAGCAGTTTTAGTTTGGGGCTTCTGAGTATGTCAGCAATTAAGGAGCATATAAAAATGGTAATATGTGTCCTACATTGATTGAGCTATTACTTTACTATTGCAAAGCATAGTGCTACCTGCTTCACATGTATTTGGCTCACTGGATCCTCAAATCAATCCTAGGAAATAAGCGTCTCCCATCTTTTCCTTTTGTCATTTTAATAAAGAGGACACCAGTATAGACAATGTTGAATGACTGGTCCAGTGACAGATAGGAGTGACAGGCAAGGTCATTGCTTAAATCTAGGTCTATGACATTAGAGAGCTTGTGTCTTTTTTTTAAATGTATGTGTCTTTTATTAGCGTACATTAGTGCTACATAATTATACATTAATCATGAGCAATTGATCACATGCGTGTTGTACCTTGATGCTTTCTGCTTAGAGCCTGTGTTCTGATCACTGTGTTACTCTGTCTCTTAGAACAGCTGCCAGAGAAAGACCAGGTTAAATCTTGTAGTTAACTTACTTGGAAAATAATCTACCAAATCCAGGATTAAATTTTATGAAGCCACCAAAATAGCATCAAAGTTCTAAATCTACAGCTAAAATTAATGCATCAAAGATTATCTGCATTCTGCATCATTTGACTCTTAGGTTCACCCTGAAATAAGAATCAACAGAGCTTGGGGAATGGGAGACAGCTCAGTGGTCTAAGCACCTGGATGGCAAGCACAAGGACCTGAGTTCAATCCCCGGTACTCCATGCCATGCTAGCCCCACCTATAATTCCAGTGCTGGAGAAGCTGAGACAGGAGGATCCAAGCTATGTAGGGAGACCCTGTACCACATAAATAAATAAAAGATTTTTTAAAAAATAAACACTACCCGTCTCCCTGGACATATTGCAGACAGATACCTCCGCCTTTGCCCTACCAAGTTCCATAAAACTCCAGCAAAGCATACCAGCAACACACCAGCCATCTCTGTAAACTAAGAATATCATGCAAAGGAGCAAAGCAGATAAGCTGCCAGACCACCTAAGTGCTTCTGACTCTGGTAGGGAGCATATAAAACAGGCTTAATAGGCTTAATGCAATAACCATTGTGTGTACATTGATCTAAGTGTAGTCTCTCGCAGGGATGGTGACCAACTGGGGAGCTACACGGGAAAATGACAAACAGAGAGAGGCTGGATTTCCACTCTGTTTTCAGATCATTGAAATCCCAGAGGGAACTCTAGTAGACATTAGGTAATCCTTTGGGATCGAGCAAAGAATCTCTTCCCCGGACAACCTCTTTCCTGGTATGGTGCCAAGGAGTTGTGGGTTTCAGGAGCTTAACTCATGATTCAAAACGTTTACCAATAGAAATGGGTATTTTAAATACAGACGTTTTTGCAGCTTCATTCACTATTTGCTCCAGAAATGGACAAGATACAGGGAGCATGCAGAGCGCTGTGCCTTCACTAAGGAGAGAGAACAGCTCAAAGAGCAGCTAGAAATCTCCTGGGCCAACAGTCGCGAATGGATGTCCACAACCCACACCTAACAAACGGAAACACATCCTCTGGTCTTATAGTCTTACCCAGAAAGCCCTCTGGCCATAAGCCTTCCAAAACTCAGATTCCAAGAAGATAAATTTGAGTCCGCTGCAAGCTAAGGCTTGAAAGCAACACACGCAGGAGCTGGCGCATGCACGGAAGTACTTACGCATGCAGTCTCCGCCGTACCAGCCCGCTCGGCACTCAGCGCAGTAGAAGCCCTTGATGTAGAAGTCGTCCAGGGTCCCACCCCATGAGCCATTGCGGCAGCTCTTGCAGTTCTCAAAGATGGTACAACCTAGAAGATTTCCAAGGAGAACGTTTCACAAGTGCTAAGGGTCGTCATAGGAGAAGGGCAATACAATTTCTCAGAGCCCAGTCCTTGTGAAGAGCTTCTGGCCCTACAAGACACCCAAGACCTTAAGAAAAGGGCTCTTTTCATGGAAAATGCTAGAAACGCCAGGATTCAGACCAGGGAGTTTAGGAGAGAAGTCTAAGTCATCCGCCCTGATAGTGGCTCATGCTTCAAGGTAACATGAAATTGCTTGTAGTAAAAGGCAGAGTTGATCATCAGAGTGTTTTTTCTCCTTACAGATATATTTCATTTCATCAAAGAATATTTAGAAATTGAAGAAAAAGTTCAATAAAAGATCTAAAATCGTATCACCTAGAGAATTTTACTGTTAACACGGTGTTTCTTTTTTTTTTTTTTTTTCTATTTGATAAACTTTTACTGACTTTCCAACAAGTGCAATGATCCACTGAAGTCCAGACAATGAAATAAGATGATGAGGTGAGGCTCATCAGGACCTCTTTCTATCCCTTTTCTGAGTACAGCCAGGACATTGTACCTCCCAGTTCTCTTAGTTGCCATATTGCCTCCAGTTCACAGATGAGAAGACTGAAGCTTGAGCCAGTAGGTAACTTGGATTTAGCAATCTTGGAAGGAGCTGAATCTTTTTTTTTTCTTTTCAAAGTTTTATTGATAACCATATAGCAATGAGACAGTTTCAAATCAAATCGAAAGTACAGTTTCAACAAATAATACACTGCATACATTCTTCTCAGTGGTTAATTGCTGTACAAGATGCAGACTTGTGATCCTACTTACAAACACCATTAGAAAAAATCATTCTATTCATTAAGAGAATGCAACTATATATCTATCCCAACCACTTTGAATACACAGATACAAAATGGACATTCATAGTTATACCCCAATTTTTTTTAAGTTCCGTTGTTGAATATTATAGGTGTGTAAACTCAGCAAAATATTCTAAAAGAGTACAGAAGCCCATAATATCATTGGGTTTTCTGTTTAACTGGCAATGTCAGAAATTATTGACCTGAGCCCCCCACAGCTCAACATAACAACATGGCTTTACTTCCTATATTTCATCTTCATACTTTTCTACTGGATGGTTAAGACCAAGGTAAAGCAGGACCTGTGCAACAAGAGTTGTAGCTTTTTGGTCTGACAAGGTCAGTGAAATGCCCTCAGGATTTATCTTGAGATCCTGTACCTCAGATTGTAGAACCTTTGTCAGTGTCAGCCATGTGGATGAGTCACGGCCAATGCTTGGCCTATGTGCTCTCTGTGAAAGCCTGAGAGAGTGTCTTCTCCCCATGTGACTCTCCTTAGGCACACTCTACGTCATCGATCACTTTCCTCTTTGGCCCCATTATCTTCTTGATCAGAAAATTTGGGACACTACCGAGGTACATGATGTTACAGTACAAGTTCTCATATGTCCTGAGTCTTAATTGACCTTAGAAGGGTAGGGCCAAAATGTTGGCTTTCCTTGTAGCCCTCCTTTTTCCTCTAATTTTGGTCTGCAAACTTAGGTTGTTAACCATCCAGAAGACAACACGGTGTTTCTTAAAATTAGACTTATTCTATATTGTATCCATGCTGTTTTTATAATTCACTTTTTTATTTTATGGGGAAAAGGTAGAATAATTTCATAACAAGATGATAGAATAACAGTAATTAACACACTGCATATTATTATCTTTAAAGTAGTTACTCCAAGTGCAGTTTATGGGCATAGAAAATTCTCCAACTGACATTACCACAAACTTCCTTTTCTTTTTTTATTTAAAAAAAAGAAAAAAACAATAAAACCAATGGTATAAAATTTCAAAACAAGATTATAGGAGAGTAACAATAATACATTGCATATTGTTATTGTCAAAGTAGTTGTAGCATATTAAAACACATAGGCATCTAGCCTTCCAAGGTCAATTAAGACTCAGGACATATGAGAACTTGTACTGTAACATCATGTAACTCGGTAGTGTCCCAAATTTTCTGATCAAGGAGATTATGGGGCCAAAGAGGAAAGTGATCGATGATGTAGAGTGTGCCTAAGGAGAGTCATATGGAGAGAAAACATTCTCTCAGGCTTTCACAGAGAGCACATTGGCCAAGCAATGGCCGTGACTCATCCACATGGCTGACACTGACAAAGGTTCTACAGTCTGAGGTACAGGATCTCAGGATAAATCCTGAGGGGATTTCACTGACTTTATCAGACCCAAAAGCTACAACTCTTGTTGCAAAGGTCCTGCTTTACCTTGGTCTTAACCATCCAGCAGAAAAGTATAAAAACAAAATATAAGAAGTAAAGCCATGCTGTTATGTTGAGCTGTAGGGGACACAGGTCAACAATTTCTGACATGGCCAGTGAAGCGGAAGACCCAATGCTATTATGGACTACTGAACTCTTTTAGAATATTTTGCTGAGTTTACACACCTATAATATTTAAATGATGGAACTTAACAAAAAATAAGGGGGGGATACACATGAATGTCCATTTTGTATCTGTATATTCAAAGTGGTTAGGATAGATATATAGTTACATTCTCTTAATGAATTGAGGGATTTGTTCTAATGGTGTTTGTAAATAGGATATCAGGTCTGCATCTTATAGAGCAATTAACCACTAGGAAGAATGTATGCAATGTGTTAATTATTGAAACTGTCCTTCCAATTTGGTTTGAAACTGTCTCATTGCTATTTGCTTCTCAATAAAATTATGGAAAAAAATAAAATTAAAAAAACACATAGGCATGAAAAATTGATCAATCAACATAGGTATAGGGGAACGGGAAGATGGCTCAGCAGAATAAGCGCTTTGCTGGCAAGCGCAAGGGCCTGAGTTCAATCCCCAGTTCCACCAAAACAAACAAACAAACATAGGTATAAACTTTTTAAGTGAACTAATAATTACTAACATAACTTTTTTTTTTGCAGAACCATTTTTGTGTGTGTTTTGTTGTTGGTAATTTATTTTTGATTTTTAAAAGCTTTTCGATAAGTTTGGATCCCAATTGTTGATTCTTTGAAGTATTTGCCATGCAGGTTAAGTTTTGTTCATGAACTCTCTGCCTATACCTGTGCCTTCAAGATTTCCAACAACTTTTTCTTTCAGTAGACTTAACAATTAGATCTTTGATCCATTTTGACTATAGTTTAGTGCATGGTAATAGACACAGGTCTAGTTTTAGTCTTCAGCATGTGAAAAGCCACTTTTTCCAACACCATTTATTAAAGAGGCTATCTTTCTTCAAGTGAACATGTTTGGCCAATCTGTTGAAAATAAGGTGGCTGAGTGTATTTGTAGTTGTGTCTACATGTTCTAATCTGTTCTGCTGGTCCTTAGGTCTGTTTTCTGTACCAGTACGATACTGACTTTATCACAGGAGCTTTGTAGTATAATTTCAAGTCAGGGATTGTGATGCTTCCCATTTTGCTTTTGTTGTTCAGAACTGTCTTTCCTATTTTAGTTCTCTTCCACTTCTAGCTGAACGTTAGGAATGCATTTTCTAGGTCTGTGAGGTATGTTCTGTGGCCCAGTATACGGCCTATTGTAGAGAACGTCTCCTGTGCAGCTGAGAAGAATGTGTATTCTGCTGACGTTGGGCTGAATAGTCTGAAAATATCTACTAAGTCCACTTGATCACAAGTGTGGTTCGGTTCTGATATTCCTTTGCTGATTTTTTGTCTAGTTGATCTACCTTTTTGTAACAACAAGGTATTGAAGTCTCCCATTACGATTGTGTTTTTTCTAGTTCTATTATGTATGTTAATGGTATTTTTATTGGGATTACATTAAATATGTAGAACAATTTTGGGAGTATGGTCATTTTCACTATGGTGGTTCTTCCTATCCATGAGCAAGAGATATCTTTCCATTTTCAGAAATCCTCTCTGATCTCTCTTTTCAGATTAGCATAACTATCTATGTACACATTTTTTATTTATTTTCTTAGATTGATTCTTAAGTATTTCTTTTCTCTTTTTTTTTTTTTTTTTGTTTTTTTTTTGATGCTATTGTGAAGGGTGTGATTTCCCCAATTTCTCTCTCAGTAAATTTGTTGTTGGCTTACAGGAATGCTATTGATTATTGAGTGTTGACTTTGAATGCAGCTACACTACTGAATTTTGTTATTAAATCTAGAAGTACTTTCATGGATTATTTTTGGGTCTCCTATGTAGAGTACAATGTCATCTGCAAGTAATGATAATTTTCCTTCTTCCTTTCCTACCCTTATTCCTTTTATTTCTTTCTCTTTTCTAATTGTTCTGGCTATTGTTACCAGAACTATATTGAACAGGAGATAGTGACATTCTTGTCTTTTACCTGATTGTAGAGTGAAATTTTTCAGCTTTTTCCATTTAGTATGATGTTGGTTATTGGTTTGGCATAGATGGTTTTTGTCAGATTGAAATAAAGATCTATTATGATTTTTAGTAGAATTTTAATAATGAATGAGTGTTGGATTTTGTCAAAAGCTTTTCTGCATCTATTGAGATGATCATGTGATTTTTGCCTTTAGCTCTGTTGATATGGTATATTACATTTATTGACTTGCATGCTTTGAACTATACTTGCATTCTTGGGATGAATCCCACTTAGTCATAATGTATAATTTTCAATATAATTTGCTGAATTATGTGCCAGTTTATTATTGAGGATTTTTGTATCTATGCTCATTAGGATTTTTTTTTCCAGCTCAGGCTAAGTTGAAGGCTGGTTTGGTGCTGCTTGCGGAGCTGGGGTTCGCACTGCGGTCTCCCACGCCAGACTGAGTTTACCCAAACAGACACTTTAAACAACTGAGCTAACCTGCAAGTCCCCTCTATATTCACTAGGGAGATGGGCCTGTAATTCTCTTTTGGTTGTATCTTTTTCTGGTTGTGGTATCAGTGTAACTTGCCTCCAGGAATTAGTTAAGGAGTATTGCTTCCCTTTCAATTTCATTAAAGAATTCAAGAAGAACTGGCATTAAAT